AATAAATACATACATTCTATAATGAATTCAATTTCATTTATATAAGTAGTCAAAAATTAGGGTTCGTATATATATATATATATATATATTATAAAAAATTTCAGACAATGGTTTGTCCTGTAAAAACAAAAACATACAGGAAAAAAAAACATTAATTATTAAACGATATCAGAGAGATGACCTCAGAAGATTGAGTCATGGTCAATTAGTCTCTAAAAATAGGCAATAATTTGACCTTTTTCTGACAAGGCAAAGAACCACATGACATTCAGCTACTGCTATACTGAAGGACAATCAATCAAGACACAAAAATGCATCAACAACCACTGAATATCATGGAGGAAAATCAAACTGCCGAAAACATATTGAAAACACATCTCCTGGCACAATCACAATGTTTCTGACATTTAAAAGAAAACGAACTCCTCACATTACTCAGATGTAAGGTTAACCAAGAGTAAATGATTAACCACAGCGCAGGCCAGGCCTGTCAGCAGTATCTAAAACATTTTCATATCACCTGCATTTTAATGTAGAACTATGTAAAACGAATGTGAGATATAAAACTTTATCCCTGTCATGTACTTACTGTAAAGCACTAGTTCAACAAGACACACAGTTAACACTGACCTCAATGTTTAATTGGACAGGGCAAAAAACCCTGGATATAACCACTAACACCCACTCAATTTAGGGTAAATCTATATGCAAATAAACACACAGTAAGACACGATGCTTGTGTGAGCATGCAGGTGTGTCATATAAAGACCTGTCTTTGTTTGAAGACGACGAATGACTGAAATAGCTGAGGAAATGAGATGTAAATGAACTCTAGCTACCTATTACCCTGAAATCATTCATACCAAAACTCCTGCAATGAATATTCACTTCAATTAACTTATTTTTAATATGAACGAGCCTTAATACAGTATGTTGCATTAACAACAAACAATTGTAGGAGTAGCGGAAAGTGGTCATGCACAGAAGCATAAAACCATTCATTTTGGTTTACATGAATAATTGTACAGTCAGAAATATACATGAATAAAACCCTGCTAACGCTGAAAGCCCCAGTTCACACAACAGCTATGAAATCTTCATTGGTGATTGATCAGTCTTCTCATAGATTATAATTCACACGTTTCTTTCCTCCAGTGAACACTTAACACTTCATTGACTTGCTGGACCTCAGTCAACATGAAAATGATAGCTGGTGTAAAGATAGTTCCTACTAATTATAGTTAAGGTAGGCTTACGTAGCAGTCCAGGGTGCACAGATGTATATGTGACACAGAGCAGGAATGCTTCATTGCATGGTTGTTAACTGAGTCATCGAGTGTCTTCTAATGTCGATTATGATCATTATCATCTGTACCCAGCAGATAGAGTGATGCATGATGTGCTGCAGATCTGATAGAGACTGACAGAAGGACTGAAACACCTCTTAGTCAACAGGAGATGCATTCAGACTCACACTTTATGGATTTGCGGAGTGAAATGTACCTATTTCTACTACCAAATACATACAGAATTGCATATAGAATAATATTATTTTAAGAGGTTAGTGTATTCTGACACTTTCCTCCGATTTTGAAATTATTTCTATTGCATTGCAATGCAAAGTAAATCTGTAGGGTTTGATGGTACACTGCAAAAAAAACATTTTACCTTTTAAATTATGAGATTCAAGCTGAACAAATAATGAAATAAAACTATTTTAATATTGTCATTTTTACCATGGCCAAAAATGTTGCTCTTTGTAACATCTTGTTGGTGTAACATACTTGTTTAGCGAGGAGAAAACAGTGTCAGCAAGAGTTTGAGATGAAATATGGCATGTTTATGCATGAAAAATTAAGGTTAATATGACTTGAAGAGAGAATATATTGTCTATTGTTTGCCACTGTAACTCTAATTTAGTTAAGTCATGCAAAAGTGTGATTTTCAATACTGTTATATTACTTGTGTTTAAAATGAGCCTTAGCAAAAATGTAAAAATTATCAAAATTAAATTTCCACTACCATTATTTCCACTCCAGAATGAATGGTGGAAATTGCATTGAAAGGCATGTTGGCACAAAGACTTCTTCTGAATTATTCTGTGGTGTGTTTATGTCCTTTATGCATTGATGCCTGTTATTAGTGGACAAATAAACTAGTGAGAGTATGAAAAGTGTGTTTTAATGGTGTTTCTAGAGCTCCACAGGGCCAAAAGTGTCCATAGCTGAAGAAACACCCGTTTATTTATAATGCAGATGTGCTGATGCATGAAGGCAACATTGGAGCATCACATCTGAAATACAATAAAACAGTTGAGAATAATAATCATGCACCTGACTGATATGAACTGAAGAAATTCATCCGCACTATTTGTACACAGACAATTAAGAAAATATTTTCGTATTTGCATATTTACTTCGCTACATTTAAGCCAGTTATAATTCACTGAGCCCATCATAACTTTTCGAATAGCTGATTATAAAGGACATGCAGCAGCGTTGGAGACAATATCCATCACCTGAATAAACCACTGCACAACAGACCAGACATACCCACAGAACACATCTTGCATGCACGCACCACTCTTTCCTCGTTCATCCTCAATGATATGAAATAAATATTAAACATCACATAAACTGAATCTTAATGAAGACATGTAATGTCTCTGGTGTTGTTACCGTGTGTGCGGCTGGCAGCTCTCGGGGTCCCGTCAGAGCAGCATTCACGCACCGGCGCGGCGGGACGCGCTCTTGCGCGGAAGCACTGAAGGCTCGCGGTGCGGTCAGTCTGGCGCAGGCAGAAGAGCTGAAATGCAGAGGCTGCAATGCTGTGCGGCGTCCACATACACACACCATCCCACAGCACACACAGCACTCGCTATAACGTCAGCGATCAATGATTAACCCGTGTAACAGCGACCCGTTGCGCCAAAAGCGCTGCCATAAAGATGACTGAGCGACACCGGCCCGTGTCCGCTGCAGTGGAGTGGACTCGCACCTTCTTATGAAGATCATCCACTTCACATCCACTGAAGCACTGTACAGTCCAGATCTGACGGGGGTTAACACGACAAATGGTTAAATTAAAGAGACACGCGGGGAGGTGGAAGTGCAGGTGTGGGAACTATGCTGTAAGTTTGAGTTTACCAAATAATGTAATTTAAACATTAAATACCAGCAAATAAGGTGTTCTCTGAGTGATTTATCAGTAATGGCATATGCTTTCTGTTTTACAACATGCGTTTGTTCATCTGCTCAAGCAAGGCTATAGGTCACCATACTGTAACAACTATTAAAAACTGAATACAGACAGACAGACAGACAGACAGATAGATAGATAGATAGATAGATAGATAGATAGTATTATGATTAATTCCGTATTTTTAATTTGCTGCAATATAACAAAGAGTGAAAAATTGAAGGGGGTCTGAATACTTTCCGTACCCACTGTAGATAGACCGACAGACAGATATAGACAGACAGACAGACCGATAGATAGATAGACAGAAGGACAGACAGATAGATAGGACACAGACAGACAGATAGACAGAAGGACAGACAGATAGATAGATAGAAGACAGACAGATAGATATATAGACAGACATAGATAGATAGATAGATAGATAGATGGTATATATTTGGCTGGAGTGTCACTGTCAGTGGTTTGTGTGTTGGATATTAGGATGAAACCATGCTGAATACCTCGATTTGATTTCTGTGCTATTGTTGTATTATGCAGAATCTCTTTGCCTATACAGGGGCCGGTTGCATAAACTGCTTATAGTTTTAAAAAGTTAGTCATCTAATTTGTTTTCTTAAAGACCGGTCATAACTGTTTAAACTCGGTTACAAAAAGGTAGATTGGCTCAATTTGAGTCAGAAAAGTTAGACTAATTATCTCTTGGCTAATTGCTAGTTGGTCAAACTAGTTCTTAAGACGTCTTAACATAGTGGGTATATTATGCAACTGGCCCCCAGGTTTTAAGACATAGTTGCTGTTGATATAGAAGAAATAATAATTCATGACAGAAAATCACACAATGCAGCAGAGGTGTAAAGAGTACCTGAAAACCCTTCTTGAGGAGAGATACCTCACAGCGAAAATGACTCCATTAAAATCACCCATTCCAAAACGACTTGAGTAAAAGTCTTAGAGTATCTGATTTTAACAGTACTTAAGTATTTTACTCATACTGAATGTAGGCTTAAAGATACACAAGTCCTCAACACCCAAAAGAAATGCCAGTGAAAAACAAGAAACAGTTGATTTGTGAGAACAATTCTATTTTCTAAAATCAAAATAAAACTCAACACTGCAATAAATGAAGGTCGACAAAACAGCCTCTTAAATGTCTACAAACACTGACATCTCAGTTAAGCACAAGTACTGAAAAAGGGCATAAGAAAACCAATCTCCTTCAAGAAGGTCTCGACCATGTCCTCATCCCATACGAGTCAAAATCTGCAAATTAAAGCAATTATCAAAATTTGATAAAATGTTGTTTCATTTTCCAATAAAAGATGATTGTTGACAAGTTTGGCCGAGTAAACATGCTCAAGAGCTAGTATCTTCAATGCCCTGTAGATGGCGATATCATTTCTTTTGTAGCAGAAATAAACCGCTGCAGAAAAAGTTAGGTACAATGCAAAACCTAATGATTAATTGCATTGCTCACAAATGTAGTGGAGTAAAGTGTACATATGCTCATTCAAAAATGTTGTCAAGTAGAGAAAAAAAGTTGCTAATATATTTGATACTCAGTAAAACTACAAAGTAGCCAAAGATACTCGAGTACAGTGACTAGATATGTAGGCAAATTACCTCGTTACCACAGTGACTGGGCCAAGTTTTTGATCACCCAATAGGATGAGGTCAATCACTTGAAGCATGGTCCTTCACTGAAGATCATTATGAAAAATATTAAGAATTTAAAAGCAATAACACAGCCACACAAGCTTGATAGGACTGCTGGTAAGGAGAAAAAAAAAGTATCAATGCAAGTGATTTTTTTATATGTCCACAATGAGACATGGTGATGCAGGACAATTCAAAATGTGAACATTGTGTTTGATTCACCCTGGATTCATGGATTTTAATTAGCCGATACTGCTTTATTTTCCCCTCAGGTTTATCATTTATGCAGAAAAAGACAAAAGTGTACACTACTATAAAGGACTGCATTAATGTGCATAGATTCTTGCAATCACAAAACTTTGAAAGATACAGCACTCAGATATTAATATACTAATGCATACATGCGCAAGTTGATATGAACTCCGCAAAGCAATCCAGGAAGTTTTCTGTTACTTCTACTGATCTGAAAATATAAAGTTCTTCAAGCATATTTGAAACAGTTTTAATGTTGTGCAGCGATGATGATTGCAGTCACTTATGTTTAGGTTTTAAAGCCAGAGCCTTGAGATTGGCCGGGCCGCCCCATACTGTCCCAAACACACTTCTCTCCGTTTGAAGGGCTTCGGCCAGGGGAAGCTCTCTTCCTGAGACAACAACCCTCTTCACCGCCTGGATCACTGGGGCCGGGCCCTTAATGAACGGACTCAGCCACTGCTCGGCGTGAGCCAGTGCATTTCCCTCGCCAGAAGAGCAATGGAGCACCTCATCAACCAGTCCCATCTGTTTTCCAAAGTCTGGATCAACTTTTTTAGCGCCGCTCAACAGTTTCAGGGCATTCTGGCTGCCAACAATACGAACTAGTCTTGCAGCTCCTCCCCATCCAGGTACCAAACCCATGTGCTTATGGACAAACTGGATAACACCATCAGACGTCATCAACCTGGAAATGGAAATAACGTTCTGTTCCAACAGGATATTAAAGTACAACTCAAAGGGGTCATATCAGGAGGAATTCAATTTTCCCTTCATCTTTTGAGATAAACTGGCTTGTTGAAACTTACTATAACTTTAAGAATACAAATCTCCTTCCTCACTCCAAAAAACATCCAAACTTTTCAAGTTTCAAGTTTGTATCTTTTGTAACATTATAGGTTGACTGCACGGAATTTAAAAAATGATAATAATAATATGACTCATTTAAACAATTCTGCATGTCAAAACTGGTGTGCTTTTGTACCTGAAGTCGCAGGCAGTGGTGAGCTCTGCTCCTCCACCCAGCGCTCTTCCCTCCACCAGTGCCACTGAGATGAGCGGCAGCCTGCCGGAAAGAACAGGAGTTTAGCTCGGATTCATCACCACAGGACACTGGAGAAATCAAACGGATCTGCACAGGTGTGAAATTAATTAGGTTATCATGTTTTCTTTGTGCATCATCATATTCTACACACTACAGACTGTAACTGTGTCCAAAATCACCCTTATGTACATTATTACACTAGAGTGCATCAATTTGTAATGCACTTTTAAAATTAAAGGTATTTATTGGCAACTATGGTTCTACGAAGAACCTTTAACATCAATGGAACCTTTCCATTGCACACTGGTTCATTACAGTGAGAAAAAAAAATCTTCAGATTATTGATTAGTTCTTTAGAGAACTATTCCCTGAAATGTTCTTTGGGAAACCAAAAATGGCTCTTCTATGGCATCACTGCAAACACCTGCCTTTTGGATCCTATATTTTTAAGAGTGTGGGGTACCGAAATCATTGTGGAAATTACTGATTGCACTTATTCAAACCCATAATGCACTGCAAAATGACTGTATGACCAATGTGCAAAATCCCTAATCCACTGTGGGGATGTTTTATTTATTTATTTATTTTTTGTGGTAAATGTTTATGCAGGTAAGCTGCATGTATATATACAGTGGGTATGGAAAGTATTCAGACCCCCTTCAATTTTTCACTCTTTGTTATATTGCAGCCATTTGCTAAAATCATTTAAGTTAATTTTTTTTC